TTTCTCCTACACGGAGACCGGAAGACCCAAGAAAGCCAGCCCCTTGGTCTAAACCGCAGAACCTGTTTGTGGCAACGCCAGAACCCCACCGCGCACACTTTCATATTCCACGTGGCCTCACACAACCCAGAAAACTAAACCTGAGGGAGCGGCTGATCCAAGAGGGGTGGACCACTGTGGAAAATCAAAACAAACACTACTCTTTTTCTAGAGCTCACAACTCTCAGTATCTTGTTGTCATTTCAGGAAATAATGAGTTTTATATACAAAATTACCAGCTCAGAGGTGGTACCTATTTTTAGAGTTGTAGACACCTGGGGGGAAATTGAGGCAGAAAAGGAGTCTTGAAGAAAAATAGCAGAGGTTCCTGGCCCTCCCTCGACAGCCCCTACCGCCCTTTGTTTTTCTGGGGTCTTTCTGTCTTTAGCCAGATGGGCCCACAGCCCCGTTAACAGTTAATGTCAGCTAGGGGCTGCTCACTATCAGTGGAGTGGCTATTTTCAGAGGGTGCACATCCTCACTTCCTCACCAGCCCCGCCAGGCTTCCTAATATAAAGGCGCATCGAATCGCTCCAGGGCTGTGCTGGGTGAGGGAGTCTTCAGGAACACTTCTTTCTCAGCTATTATTGGCAACAAAGAACTAGTTATTTGCTTTCCCCTTCTCCTTTCACCTTGTGGGGCCTTCTCCCTCCCCAAAGGGGCTGAATGAGACTTTCTGAGAAGATGCTTTTATCTCCCATAGCTGAGTGTTGGATCCTTTTCATTTCTGAAAGGAGTTCTGACGGGCACCTAATATGTTGAGGGGCCCACTTCCTCCTAATCTGGGCATTTGGATTAAGAAAAAAAATTACTTTCACATTTCCATAGTGAAGTACCAAAAATATGCCCATTGGTAGTTGATTTTGTTTGGATGAGGCGCTTCCCCCTTACAAGGGGCATTGAGGGCATAAACGTGTATTTGAAGTGGAAAGGAAGCATGAAGCTCCATCTGTAATCTGAGCCCTCCTCCAGGGCTGGTACTCTCCCTTTACAAGGATGGCAGCTTCTCAGGAGCAGGAATGGGTAGGGATTGGAGTACGTGGCCAGAGCACAAAGCTGGGAGGGTGCACGTGGCTGTGTTTTGGGGGACAGGACGGAAAATGTCTCTGGGTGACAAGTGTATTGTGCGCCTGTGCGCGCAGGCTCCAGGAGATCTGAATTTTGTGGGCGTGTGTGATTCGTGTGGGTGGAGGGATCTGGGCCGGTGAACGGAATCTGTGTATGAGGGGGAGAGGCCGGGTGTGTGAGATGACTCATATCTTTCAGGCTGTGGGAGGGTTTATTTGCGGGGGGTAACTTTTGGTCCCAGGGATCCTATGTACACAGCCCCCAGGAGGAAATATTTACCTGTGCAGCTTAGTGAAGGGGTCCAGCGAGGGGAGAAGAGGCATCGTGACTCGGTGGGACGGGAGCGCGGGTGTGGGTGTGTGTGTCTGCAAATGTGAGCTTGCCTACAACTCTGGGCTGCTGCACCCAGAAGAGAAGAATGGATGTGGAGGAAGAGGGAAGAACCAAGTGTCGTTTAGAACCAGGCAGTTTAGAGACAGGTGTTCCACACGAAAGCACAGGCTCTGGAATCGCCATTCCGAGTGGGAATCCGGTATGGCCCCATGCTCATCTGCCTTCTCTGAGCCTCCACTTCCCAGTGTGGGAAATGGGAAGAACAATCCTGGAGAAGTATGGAAATTAAGTGCTATAATTCATGCAAACACTTGCCCCATTCACACAGCAAGTGTTTAATATTGCCATTTATTTATCATCATTGTCACGTCTGGCTACTGGTTCTAAAACATAATCATTACATGTGACGTTCATTGCATGTGAACTGTAATAATAAGATAGTGATAAATAATAATGAATGCTCACTGCTACAGCCATGTACACCACCTCAATTAATCCCCACCTGATTTACAGGTATTATTATCAGCCCTTTGAACAGGTGAAGAAACAGAAGCTCAGAGAAGTTAACTTGCCCAAGGTCACGGAGCAAAGGCACAGCTGGGATTCGAGCACAACAACTATAAACTCCACAGCATATGCTCCTGCCACCCCACCCCACCCCAATCTCACTATCTTTGTGGAGTCACCCAACAGACTGAGGAAGCCACTCAGCTCACTTCAATGAGCAACACCTGCCTTGAGCTCAGGGGCGGATGGACCTGAGGGAGGAGTTGGCAGAAGTGTCTCCAGTTGAAATAGATTCCATACCAATTCCAGCTAAACGTAGAATACATTCGCCATTTGTGCATTATTCATGAATATCAGTTTGCCCAAGTCAGCACTGGGAATTGGGCTGAAGTTTGGGAGCTTTGCTGACGTCTGCCCAATATTCCCATCCCTGTGCACAGGAAAAGTTGGATCAAACCATGAACTCATCAAAGGCTCCGCCCTCTCAGAAGGGAGACTCATCATAGCCCACAAGCTGACTGGGGACAAGGCATAGAGATCCACTGTTTTGTTCTGGCGGATTACGACACCCCACTTTGGCTCTGCTTGCTTGATGGACTGCTCAAAGGCACACATTCTCCACAGTCACCTTCTTCTTAATGAGAAGTGGGGCTATGTTCCAGCAAAGTGGCCCCAGATGTCTGGGCTTGATTATCCCAGGCCAGAAGGGTCAGTTTGATTTTCTGCCATGCCATATCACAAACCAAAGGGGAGCAGCTGGCCCTGGCACCCTGCATCAGTGTGCTGCCTCTGTTGGCATACAGGTGGTGTGATGAGGACAGATTGAGGTTCAAACCCTCAACTCTGCCACCAAAGGCTGGGGGCCTGGCTCCTGGGCCTTACTACCCTCATCTGTAAAATGGACATGATCCCCTCCATCATGTGAGATTCAAGCAAGAAAATGCAGACAGGAAGGGCTTTAGTGAGCTGAACACTGCTTAGTTGGCTAGATGACGGACAGAGACCCAAGGATGGAAATCCAATGAAAGAAGCTTCTCACATCAACATGTCAGCCTAAACTCATGGCCAGCCACAGAATCAGATCCTCTCTTCCCCCAGTAATCACAATGGAATTACCACCCTTCCTTCTAAAACGGAAGCTCCATGGGGGCAAAGATTTCTGTCTACTTTGCTCACTGCTGTTTTCCCAGAGTCCAGAGCACCTGCTCAATGTAGGCACTCAGTAGATATTTGTTGAACAGACAGTCCCACAGGCCACTGAAGATGTCCAGGGAAGGTGGACAGACTGGAGTGCTAGACCTCACCCTTAGATATTCTGGGGAGTTCCTGACTCCTCTCCACCACATGTTCCCACATGAGCCCCCTTGCATAGGACCGTGAAGCTACTCTCCTGGCTCAGGCACATCTGGGAGCACCTCTGGAGGGATGGATTCGCAGAGCAGCCTGGCCAGAGCCCCGGGGTGACAACTGCCCCTGGGCTCCCAAAGCGTCCAGCTGGGAGTGCCAGGTTGCTCAACCACCCACCTCAGCCACCCACATCTGCTGCCCGGGCCTCCCTGTGCCTGCACATGGGTGCGTGCACGCGCATACATGCATACACACACACACACACACACACACACACACATGCCCACGACATGGAACCCAGCAGGTCCATCTGCTCCGCCTGTCCTCCACACCCAGGGTCAGGGAACTCTCCAACCTGATCAGTGAAAACAACAACAGCACAGAAGAGGCCGCCTGGGACCAGGGCTGGGCACGGCTATGACAGGCAGGAGCATTATATAATTAACTGCCCCCCACGCCTCCTCCCCTTTGAGGAATAATGAACCCTGCCTCTCAGTTGCATAAGCCAAAATAATAATTACCCTCCAGCCCTCTGTCACTCCTGGATGTGGCCAGGGAGCAGGTGTTTAGCACTTGCTTCATGAGACTTGGAGGCAGCGAGCAGGCAGGGAGAAGACCATACATCCACTCATGATTTCTATGCCTACCAGAAGCACACAAGTCACTGCTGTGCCCACTCCTTTACCATGCCTGAAAAATCACCTAGCTGCTTCTGAGGATGAGCTCCCAGGTTGGGGGCAGGTGGGGCGGGGGTGGGGGCTGCATCTGGAGAGCAGGCTTGTTTGGGGTCTGGTTTCCAGGTACGGTAATTGCTCCATGCCTTTCAGATGCATCAAGGAGTGGACTCTAGAGTGTCTGGGACAGCGGGGTAGCTGCAAGGCCACCAAGGCTCCCTGCACAGAAATCATCTTACAGCAGTGGTGGGCAGAGTGGGCAGTTCTCAGGGTTGAGCCGGTGCAGGAAGCCAGGATGTGGTGGAATCTCAGAATGAAGGCACAGAGCATTCCCTGAACTAATGGGGAAAATGATTCAGCCACTGAACGGCTAGATTCCTGGGCTCTTGCTAAACAGATGGGCCTCCCTCCCTCCCTCCGTTCAGCAGCCTGCTCCGACAGGGCTAGCCCGTGTCCAACCACCTAGAAGTTTATTGCCTTGTTGTGTAGGTTTGGGTTCGTGTCCCCTGTCTGTAGCTCTCCCAATTGCTCCCCTTCCATTGGCTTGAGTTGATCAGGTCTGAGGGAGGCCCTTTGGCACCGCAGGAAAACAAGAAGCAAAGCTGGGGCCTGACTCCTGGAGGCCCACACCAAGGGAGCTCTGTCAGCAAGGGGAAGGGCCCTCTCCCGGTCCCCCTCCACCCTCAGTGGGTCCCAGAGGAGGCCTGGGCCCAGTCTGGCCTTTCCGCAGGTCTCTGGCCTGCTCCTGGATGATGCACAGACACACTCTGCTCAACTCCGCAGCTCCAGGGCCTCCTTCTGCTCCTGGAAAGCCCCCAACATCCTTCAGCTGGCGCAAGGGTGCTATCCCCCACCAAGCAGTGGGGCAACCTGTAGCCAGGGCAGCTGGTCCTCCAGGGAACCCCAGGAAATGCCCAGGTGCCCACAGCCCCGCTGGAGGGAGAAGCTCAACTTCCCCAGAGATAAACAGAAGAGGCAAGAGAAGGTCCCTCCTCCGCCCAGCCCCCGGCCCGCCCGCACCCGCGCACCTACCTCCATCCGAGTAGGTCTCGGTGCCATAGCCGTCCTGCAGCCCGTTGCTCCAGGTCCCTTCGTACTTGGCCCCGTTGCCTGTGCATTCCCGCACCCCGTAGCGCCCCTTAAATCCGTGCGTCCACTCGCCCTTGTACACCCACTTCCCCTTGCTCTCCAGGCCGATGCCGTGGCGCTTGCCCTGCGCCCAAGTGCCCTGGTACGTGTTGCCGCTGGGCCAGGTGTAGACGCCCAGCACCTCGAAGCCGTGGCTCCACGAGCCGGTGTATTCGCCCTGGCCCTTGGGGCCGGTGCAGACGCCATGGCCGTGCGCCTTGCCGTCCTCCCAGCCTCCACAGTAGGACCCTCCATCGTCAAAATTAAACCTACCCCCACTGGACATGCATGTAATTCGGTTTGCAAATCCCGCAAACGGTGAAAAAAAAAAAAAAAAATAAGGCGATCAACAAACCGGATTCTTGGCTGGCTGGCTGGTTTTGTTTTGCTATTTTTTTTAAAAAAAAGGAAGAATGGAGAAAGCAAAAACACAGCGAGCAGATCCCGAGCGGCAGGCGGCCGCGACGCCGGCTTCGGTGGAATTTAAGTCAATCGGGGGCGATTATTCATTTTTGAGCTGCGCCGCGGAGCCTGACCAGCGTCTCGCGCTCCCGCTGGAGACAGGACCGGAGGGGAGGAGGGAGGGGGAGGGGAGGGAAGGGGAGGGGGAGGGAGGGGGCAGGAGCAGCAGCGCTGGTGCAAACGGCTCCACCTCAGCGCCAAGTGCCCCTCAGAGGCGAGCCAGCGGGGCTGGCCGCGCAGCCCGGCGCGGGGACGAAGGCTCAGGCTCGGGGCGCAGCCCTCCACCTGCGGCTGCCGCTCTGCGGGCGCCCGAGGGCGGCGGCGGGGCCCGCGGGTGGCGGCACGGGCGGCGGCGCGGGCGGCTGCACCATATTGAGGGCCGCGGGCCGGGCCGGGGCGGCGGCGGCAGCAGCAATGCGGCGGGTCGGGCGGCGGCGGCGGCGGTGGCGGCGGCGGCGGCAGCGGCGGCGGCGGCGGCGGCGTGCGCTCGGAGCCCGGCCTGCGCGCTCCGGCCGGCGCGGCGCGCGCCCGCACCCTACCCGCGCGCCCCCGTCCGCACCCCGCCCGCCCGCGCGCCCCCGCCCGAGCCCCCCGCCCCTGGCGCGCCGGCGGCCTGGAGAGGGGCGCTGCCCGGCCTGGCAAAGAGCGCGGGGCGCAGGCGGGGACCCCGGGGCCCCGTGCTCATCCCCTACCCGGCGCTCCGGCCCGCTAGGCATCCCCCCCCTTGCCCGGGCCCGTCTGGAAATAGGGGTCCAGCCAGGGCACCCAAGCCCCCCCTTTCCCGAGACTTGGATTTAAAGGGACAGGAACTGCGTAATGGGAAGGCGCCCAGTACCCAGGGCGCTCTCTACCCCTCCCGGGAGCCGCGGATAAAACCCAGCCGAGCAGGCCCGGGGCGGTCTGGGGACGCCCCGAATGTTTCCGCTCCCCAACCCCGAGCCTCGCCCCTCCGCCTGGCTCCTATCCGCGACACCTGCCCCTGGGTTGAGTGGAGAAGCTCTTGGCAGACCACAGGTGGTTTTTCCTATAACAGATAATCCATCCTTTTCCTTACAGGCAGTTTAGTTCCAAATGTGGGATGCAGGATTCTCGCCTCAGAAAACATGTCCCCTCCCCATAAATGAAAAGAAAGTGCGGCCACACGCACATATCTTGGAGTAAAGATACCCCAATCCTGTCTTGCGTCTGCGCCCGGGACAACAAGTAGCCCCCATTCCGGGAGTGGTCGCGCTTTGGGAGTAGAGTGGAATCTCCACTCCAGCGTTACGAGGTCTTTCTCCACACATGCTCCCACCCCCACCCCCAAGAGATGGTGTCTGATTCCTGGGTCCGAGTATCTTGGGACCAATTTAAAATGCATTTCCTGGATGATAAATCCGCAAACGGTGCCCGCCTTCCCAATCCTCCCGGAACGCATGTGGCAAATGGCAGCAGCCAGTGCTGTGGAGGAGAGGCTGCACCCGGTCCGGGCTGATTGAGTGCGAGTGGGTGACTCGGGCTGCCTTGAGCCAGGAATTGCAAACCAGGCAGTGTAGCCTGAGATTTAGCATTGCAGACGGGGTGCAGTTGAAACCTCCCATTAGCCAGGGGTTCTGCTCAGCTTTCTCCTGCCTGCATTGTTCCCGCTTATGGGTAAACAGGCCCTCACTGGGAAACTAATCCCTTCTCGGAACCCCAAAGTTTACGCTCTTTTTGTCTTGCCCTGAGCACCCAAGACCCCTCCCTAAAGTGCCACCGGCAGTGAAAGCAGCCACCTTCTCATCCACCCTGGCGAGGGTCGTTTAGGGAGTTTTCAATTTAGCTTTGTGATTTGCAATTACAAAGGTTCAAAGCACCTTCTCAGCCCAGTCTCCCAGTGCTTTTTTGAATGCCTGGGGGTGAAATTGTTGGGTGGAGCACGTCTCTCACATAGTAGAAGTTGCTCTCCAGAACACCTGGAGAATTTCCTTCTAACCCTGCAGTGCACCTGTGCTTCCGGTTCTCAACTTCCTGGCCAGCCCTTGGCATTATCGGACTTCCTATTAGGTTTCCATGTATTTTATTTGGTCAATCTAAATGGGTAGGAAATAGCATCTCAGGGCTGTTTGGTGAAAATGAAAAATTACAGATAGTAAATATGTAGGCAAAAGGGCTGCAGACTTTTCTCACAAGACTCAGATTCAAATTCTGCTTCCAGGGCTGGCCAGTTGTGTGGCTTTGGGCAGTCATTTAACATCTCTGAGCTCAGTTTTCTCATCCATATGAGGGGCATAATGGTAGTTCCCACAAGTTGCTGTGAGCATGCAAATAGCTGGGTGCCCAGCACATGGTGAGCATTGAAGAAATAGAAAGTTGTGTTATTAGGAGACCCCCTCCCCCGAGCAGAGGTCATGAGTTCCTACCTAGGACCCCCAGCTTTCAACCTGCTCCTCCCAAACACTGTTGACACAAAATCACTATTTCTCTTGTACACTCGGCACTTTCTTCCATTTTATTTCTAACCTGTATTTTTGCTGATTAAGCAGCCCATCCTCACAGGAGCAGTGAATTGCAACTGAGATCTTATTGGAAAATGGTTATTGGTTCCAAGCAATTACTGGTCAGCACCGTCTACCTCTGGGTAATGCATACTCTTCCCCTGGCAATTCCAATACACCCCTCCTCCCCCACAACTGACCCTCCCTCCTCTCCGGTGCACAGTCAGATGAGCCCCAGCAGTGAGACTACTGTCTGAAAATGCAGATATTAGAGGCACTCGTTTTGTGCAGTTTGGAAGTCATTCTCCCATAGAGTGGGGCTAGGAGTACTGATTTCATTTTGGAGGAAGCTCTCCAAGGCTTCCTCCAAACATAGTACCACCCAGCAATTTCAAAACAAAAACCAGTGAGAAAAACAAGAAACTATACTATCATGCGGAGTTTCATGGTCTGGGATGAATACCTCACATTAGTGATCCCACGGGCAATCCGTGGGTGACCTGGGCTTACATATCCTTCTTTTGTAAAGACCAGCTTGGAGCCTACCTAAGTGAAATGTCCAGCTGAAGGGAAAAGAATGATCAAGCAGGATTCCAGCACAGGCGGTCTGGTTTTCCAGACTGTAACCTTTCTGGCCTCTAGGCTGCCGGTCCCTTCTCCCTCTTCCTGTGACCATGACCTGGAAGTTTTCTGGTTTCAGCTCCTGAAAGGCTTGCTGGTTTCCCTGTCTAGAAAATACCCTCCTTTTATCTCCACAGAAGCCTGTTTGTTTCCTTCAGAGAACTGAGCTACAATCTACAGTTACCCTTCTTCTTGCTGGTGTTTAACCTGACACTGCATCAAGATGTCCCAGTCTGGGGGCTCTCCTATAAAGTGACATGGACACGCCTCCTGCTGAGAGGTGGGCCAACTGGTGAGTGCAGCAGAAGTAACACAATGTGACTTCAAGGGCCAGGGCATAAATGGTGACACAACTTCTGCCTCATGGTCTCAGGATGCTAGAGCTTGGAATGGAGTCACCATGCTGTAAGGAAGCCCAAGCAGCCCACGGAGAGGCGCACAAGGAGAGAATCAGGGTCTCCAGCCCACAGACCTAGCTGGACTCCCAGCCAGCCCAGCACATATTGGCAGCCATGTGAGTGCACCATCTCGAACTAGATCCTCCAGCGCAGGCGGACCACCCCTGAGTGCACCATCTCGAACTAGATCCTCCAGCACAGGTGGACCACCCCTGAGTGCACCATCTCGAAGTAGATCCTCCAGCGCAGGCGGACCACCTCTGAGTGCACCATCTTGAATTAGATTCTCCAGCTCAGGCCAACTGCATGTAGCAGAAACCCACCCATGTAGCTTTCCCTACCACATCATGTCATAATTTCAATTTCTGAACAAAATTAGTGATTGTTGTTATGTTAAGCTAGGGGTCATACAAATGACAGCTCATGGGCCATATCTGGCCCACCCCTTGTTTCTATAAGTAAAGTTTTATTGGAACACAACCACCCCCATTCATTTACATATGTCTATGGCTGCTTTCCCACCACAATGGCAGAGTTGAATCATTACAACAAAGACCATATAACCCATCAAGCCTAAAATATTTACCATCTTGTTCTTTACAGAAAGAGTTTGCCAAGCCCTATGTATTAGTCTTCTCAGGCCACCATAACAAAAACCATGAGCTGAGGGCGCTTAAACACGGATATTTATTTTCTCACAGCTCTAGAGGCCTGCAGTCTGAGATCAGGGTGCAACACAGTGGGGTTCTGCTGAGGATCCTCTTCCTGGCTTGCAAATGGCTGCCTTCACTGTGTCCTCGGTTGGGGAAGGCAGGAGAGGGAAGGAGAGAGAAAGACCCAATGAGCATAGGCAAGTGTACTGGTGGGTTTTTTTTTTTTTTTTGCTTTGTTTTGATCCTCACCCAAGGACACTTCTCATTTATCTTCAGAGAGAGCAGGAGGAAGAGAGAGAGAAACATCGATGTGAGAGAGACACATCGACTGGCCGCCACCCACACGACCCCAACTGGGGCGGGGGACAAACTGCAACCGAAGTATGTGCCCGTAGCGAGAACCGAACCCAGGACTCTCTGGTCTGCGGGCCGATGCTATCACCGGTAAGCCAAACCGGCCAGGGCTGGTGTTTTTTTTCTTATAAGAACACTAATAAGGACCCCTATGGGATCAAGTGCCACCCTTAAGACCACATTAATTACTTCCTTTCTCCAAATCCAGCAACACTGGGGGTTGGGGCTTCAATATATTAATTTGGGGGGGGGGGGCGCACGCAATCCGTGGAACCCTGCTTTAAGTCACTGAGTTTTGGGGTGATTTGTTGTGCAGCAGTAACCAGAACAGGCCATACGCTTCGTGCAGAAGGAACCACATCTGTGTGGTTTCCTCTCTCCCCCGGTAGCAGGCACACAATGGGTGTAGGATACAATTTTGTTGCACAAATCACCAACCCAAGAGGGGGCTTGGTGATAGGGATAACGCGCTCTGGGCACTGGGGGAACCTGGATTTTGGTCTTGGTTCTGACACCCATTTATTGTGTGGCAACAGGCCCAGTGTCTTCACCTATAAAACGGGAAACATATAAAAATGGTTTTCCTGGTCCGTCGGTTCTATGGTTCTAGAATTTTCCTCAGCACTCACTGCCCCCTTCGTGCAGTCCAGTGTGACGCTGCACTACTGTGTGTGTGTGTGGGGGGGGGGGGCGGTTACTTACGATCTCTGTGCCGTGGATTGCTCACCAGGCCCGGGCTGTGGCGTGCGTGGCGCCGCTGAGGGGAGCCTTCAGAGGGGCTGTTTTTCTGGCGTCTCCTCCAGCCAGTTCCAGGGTCTGGTGGATCAGCCCTGTGGTATCCCAAAACCGATCCCCTTACACAAACTTGTGCCAATGCGGGAGGTCGACATGGTTCCAGCACCAGGGGCGGTTGTTAGGAAGGATGTCTGCTGTCTCATCCATGCGGTCAGTCCCCTTCGCTGCCTGGGTTTGAAAACCAGCTCAGCTGCTTGCTTGCTGGGAGCCAA